TTGAATTGTTTTGAAATTCACAAAGTATAAATCACCACCTTATTTTCTATTGAAATGGAAATGAATTGTGGATCAAGATATTAACTTGACATTGCATAGTTTTGAAAAAGGATTTAAATGTGTTTTGGCAAGAACATGGCACATGCATTCACCTTGTAACTTTGTTAAGATTTATACACTGTGTTGGATTATTTCTACTGGATTTTGGCTCACCCTATGTAGGAGAAATATTTCAGGTGCCGATGATATGCCTCCGCCAAGGCAGTAGCTTGGGAGGACTTGGAGCAAGAGCTTCTTTTTGTTGTATTCATTTTTGTATAGCCAAGAGCTTTAAATGTATTGGACCTAAAGCCCACTTTTGTTGTAACTAAGAACTAGGGCGTTCCTTATCTGTTTAACTTCCATTCTTTCCTTTTATTTATAACATATGCTATAGATTTATGGCTATGCATTATGAATGTATACCACATATGTTTCCCTTTTTGTAATCTCAATTAGATTTAATGGAAGATAATTACATTATTATTATTGTTGTTTATTTATATTGTGTATGGATTATGGTAATTATTTCGGGGCGTTTCATAATATAATAAATAAGTGGGTTGGACTTCTTTAAAAGGTTGCATTTCTCTCAAATTCAAATTTAATTTTGAATTTGACTGTCATGTTCAAGCTTGTTGAGCCCGCCATGGGTCATGTTTCGATGGTCCGAACGGTTCATTTTGTAGAACCCTCCGTGTATATCATTCATGAAAAAACTTAGAGTGATTTGATCGCATTTGTTTTTGAAAAAATGTATATTTTTTTAAAATAAATCATCCATTTTTTTGGAGACAAAGACAATAAATTGACAACAGGTAGAATTATCGAATCAATCTAATTTTTTTGGGTAAATTACAAACATACCCCTTGAGGTTTACTTAAATAACAAATTACCCTCTGTAGTTCTAGAAATTACATTATACCCCTTAAGGTTTCTAATTTCATAACAAATAGATCATTTTATTAATAAATCATCAAGTTAATTAACAATTTTTAATAATGTTAAAATTTTATTTTAATTAATAATTCAGATAATTTTATTATTGTATAGGTGAACAATTATAAATTTCACTTTTTTATTTAATTATATTAAATAAAAAATCTAAGAGGGAGATATTGGTAGTTTTCTAAACCACAGGAGGCCATTCTATTTTAAACAAATCTCAGGGGGTGTATTCGTAATTTACTTTTTTTTTTTTTTTTATATCGGTAATGGAGAGTCTTACAAAATGACTGATTTGAATAATCGAAACGGAACTGTAATAAACTCCATGAGTCTAAACGTAACAATTAAATTCAAATTTAAATTTGGGAGATCTCCACCTTTAAATTATATCAAGAGTACTAGCTAAACAAGTACAAAACAAAAATGAAGCAACTTTCATTCTTTGAGCATTAATTTTTGACACCCAATTGCTAAGAATGTACTTTGAATTATTTCACTTTTTTTGGGTTTCCAAATGCCACTCAAACTAAATTACAGTAAAATTTATTACTTAGAATTTATATGAAGATAGCAAATAGACAGTCTTATTTCAAATTTTGCCATATAAGAACTCAAATTGCTTAGCATTTTATAACTTGAATGCTAAAAACAAATGCAAACATAACAAAACAAGTAGTACCAGTGGATATTACTCACACCTTCATTAAAGTTGGCAATTTTGGGGCTATCTTTGCATAATTCAGAGAAATTGAAGGCTTAATTGTGAGGGGTTTTGATAAGTAAGCATTTTATAAGAGAGGGTAAAATTAATGAGGGCGACAAGTGAAAATTGTAGTGGAGGCGATGATCACAAATACCAAGGATCCTCTAGAGTGAAATTTTCTTAAAGTTTTCTAGAGTGCTACATTGTAAGGTTGAGATTTACTGGCAAGTCACATCAAAAAAATTGATATGACTTGCCAGTAAATCTCAACCACACAATGTAGCACTCTAGGAAACTTTAAAAAAAAATCACTCTAGAGGATCCTTGCTCGATCACAAAAGGTATCGAATAGAGTTTGGGTTGGGATCAGGGGTTTTACAATCACATGAAGAGAGGACTGTTGACACTGACCGTGTTCAAACCTGTAAATTTTCTTCACTTCCCGAGAAAAATTTTGACTGTACAAAGTTTGATGGTTTCTTTTTGAATGGTGCGTTTCTTGGGGAAAAAAAATAAAAAATACAATTTTGAACATGGTATAAAAAAATATTAACATATATACAAACAAGTATGTGGCATATTAAATAAAATTTTAAATTTAAACAAAAAAATAAAATAAATCAAGTTAAATATAGTATAAAATAAATATTAACATATATACAATTTCAATTAAATTAAATATTAAGGTGTTGTTTGATAAAATTGAAAACTGAAAATTGAAGACTGAAAATTAAATATTAAAAACTAAATACTTGATTTTTTAAGCTAAAAAACTGTTTGATAAAAATTTAAGTGCTGAATTAAAAATAAATTGTTTGACATGTATAATATCAAATTTTCAATTTTTTATTTTCAAATTATATATTTTAATTTTTATATTGTGATGGTGGTAGTAGTGGTGGTGGTGATGGTAGGATGGTGGTAGTGATAGTGGAGGTGATAGCGGTTGTGATAGTAGTAGTGGTAGTAAAATGATAATGGTGTTTCGGACAACAATAACAATGATAGTGAAGGCAATGGCGATAGTGGTGATGGCGGTGGTGGTGACAATAATGGTGGTGGCGGCGACATGATGGTAGCAGTGGTGAAGGTAGTGGTAGTAATGGTGATAGTGGTGGTAGTGATAGTGGTGACATAATGGTAATGGTTATGGTGATGGTATTTGTAGTGAGTGTTAGTTTTTTTTTTTTTTTTAGTTAAAGTGGTATTAGTAGCAAGTATATAATAGTATATAGCGATGCTTATATTTAATATTTATAAATTCAATTACAATTAAGTAAGTTTTATATGATTTAAATTTTTTTTAAATTTTAACTAACATTTTAAGATATATTTAAATTTTTAAGTAATTTAATTATGGTTATCAAATGAGTTTAATTAATTTTCACCCCAAAGTAGGTAATGAATGACTTGTATTGATAGTATGGTGGAGCCCAAACAACAAAATCAAAGCCCAAATAGCAATCTAATGAGCCCAATTCGACATATCAGACTGAAACATTAATTCTAAGGCCTTTAAAAAATGGGCTGGTCTGGCCTATAGCATTCTATTTGAACCCAAAAAAAAATCTCAATATGTCCGATTTAAATTTATAAATTTTAATTCTTATTATATTCTAATGTGAATTTATCAATAAGGGCACACATATATTAAACCCTTAAAATATTTTTTTTTCATGGTACACCCTAATTCATTATTCCTATTCAAATCTCTACATCTTCTCCAAGAGATCAAAGTTATTTTGTCTTGTTCTTGTTCTTGTTCCTTTTCTTATTTCTCATTTTAAAACTCCAATCAATCCTATCAAAACTCACTATTATCATTAATATCATTGTTTTTTTATTATTTTGAAACCCCAAACTCTAGAATAAAGTTTGAACAATCAAACAATAAATGAAAGTGATAATTAAGATAATTTTTTGAAGTAACCCATCAAAGAGGAGGTAAGCTTTCATATAAAAATTAAAATATAATTATTAATTTATGTATTTTTTTACATGTTCTATTACGATGTTAAATCTTTCAATTTTCATAATCATAATAAAAAAATTCTTAGAGATAATCTTTGAACTCAATGATCATATTAGTATCCTTCGTACAAAAAACGAGCTATATCTTACGACACTTTTTAATAATTTTTTTTCTATCCTTTTACTTTCTTTTTATGTTGACCTTTCTGTTTGTTCTGAAAAAAAATAAAATAAAATTGTTTCTATTATTTTCTTCTTGCGTATTTTTTTTTGCACATACACATAAATTGTGAAAAAATATATAAACAAATTCAATAAGAGAGGTAAGCCAAGCAAGGTAGTAGAGTGTTTTTCCATTCAAGCATTTTGTCAAACACATATATACTGTTTGGTAACCATTTCGTTTTCAGTTTATATTTACAAAAATTAAAAAACTATCATAAAAACTTACTTGATAATTTTTTTGATTTATTAATGGTTGTCTCAGTTTATAAATTTGAGGAAAAAACGTAAACTCAAAAAATGAGTTTACGTTGCTTTTTAAACAGAAATTTAAAACTTTGACTAACAAATTTTTTTTGTCAATTAATTTTTTTTTTCAAATAATTTTTTTTCAATAATTTTTTAATTATTATTTTTTTCAATTATAATGTGTACAATCCCATTGTCATAAATAATAAAAAAATAAATATAAATATTTTAGGCTTGAACAAACATATTTTTTAATTTATGTTTTTAAAATTTTTCGAACATTTTGTTCAAACCAAACGTGTTTGTAGTTTATGTTTTTTTAAAAATAAACAAAAATCAATTTACAAATTTTTGGTAAATATAAAAAAAAAACGTAATTGTTACCAAACGCTACTTAGTAATCAACAAATTAGAATAGCAAACCAGCAATAAATTTGTCAAACACTAGTAATCAACAAATTGTTATAGCAACATAGCAAGAGAAGAGAGAGATACAAAAAAAAAAGAGACAATGAGATGAAATTTGTCAATAGTGACTTTGATTATGGAGTCCTTCGCCGGTGCCTACTTGTATATTAATTTGAAAGGTTTTGCAAATATTTTTTTTAATTTGATTATTATTTATTATTTGGGAGTAATATAAAATTTTAGATAATTAAAAAAAGATGTTAATGATTTTTTTGGGGGCAAATAGTATCCCCCCTAGAAAATGGTCGAAAGCCCAAACTTGGATCCAGCACTTGTTCTTGTTGTATTGTAAACGCCCAAATAAACGAGTCCAATCTCAACCGTTGAAGAGAACCCAGTAGAGCCGTTAGATCTAGGGCATCGGAGACTCTTCTAGGGTTTTAATTCTCTCACTACAAGACTCTTCGTTTCAGCCGAAGAGACAGAGAGAGAGAGAGACGCAGAGGGAGGGAGGAGGGGAGAGAGATCTTAAAATCTCTCCGAAGATGGTGCAGCGTCTCACGTACCGCAAACGCCATAGCTATGCCACCAAATCGAACCAGCACAGAATCGTCAAAACTCCTGGTATATATACATATACATATACATATACATATACATATATACATTCATGTTGAAAGATCCTAGCTTTAGCTTTATTTTGTTAGATCTGTGTGTTTTTGGTGCTAAATGTTGTATCTTTAGCTCTTTGTTCTTTTCTTGCAATAGATTTACACAAACACATATACATTGATATCTATTGATGTGGGTATGTGTATTTTTATGTGTTTTGTAATGGGTTTGTGTTGATCATTTGTTGGCACTTACTGAAATGTAGGTGGAAAGTTGGTGTACCAGAGTACTAAGAAGAGAGCAAGTGGGCCTAAATGCCCTGTTACTGGCAAGAGAATCCAAGGGGTATGACATTTTATTTTTGTTCAATATCTTTTTCATCATAAATTAGCCTTGTTATCACATTCTTTTGATAAGTTCTCACTTTATAACCCCAAGGGTTGGCTACGTGGTAAAAATTTGAGGATACGATGCAAGGTCTTGAGTTCGAGTCACTTATGGAGCCTACCCGGTAGTTAACTTCAGCATCCTGGGATTAGTCGAGTTCGAGTCACTTAAGGAGCCAACCCGGTAGTTAACTTCAGCATCCTGGGATTAGTTGAGTTCGAGTCACTTAAGGAGCCAACCTGGTTGTTAACTTCAGCATCCTGGGATTAGTTGAGGGATTAGTTGAGATGCGTGTAAGCTGCCCAAACTACCAGTTAGAACAAAAAGGAAAAAGTTCTCACTTTTGAGGATCCAAGTAGACACCTTGTTGATATCTCATGAATAACCCTCAAAGATCACATATAGTGTGTGCTTTTTAGTTTATCTATATTTGACCATGTATGGAATTCATTTGCACTTTTAGTCAAGCTCAAACATGGATCCTTTTGGCATGCTGTCAGAGTTGATTGATAGCTTAGAATAACCATCAATTCAAGCATATAGGTTTGTGTTTTATTTCCCCATGTAGAAGCGATGTCCCATATTAAGTTCCAAAGAAATGGGTGCAAAAGTTAGGCGTATGCAATCTCTAGGCAGTTAGTCTGTTTAGTCTGCAAATAATTGGTTAGAAGACATAGATTAATCGCGAAATTGATCATCCTCTTTTTTTTTTTTTTTAAAATCAATGCTGCAGTGTGGAATGCTGATTTTATAGTTTATTTGTTTATTTATGGTGTGCATCAATTCTATTTGAGATATAGCCATGTAGTGGAGTTGCATATACATGAAAGTTGTTTAGACAACTGATAGTGGATGTTGCTTTTGTTTCTCCTCATTTCTGCGTAATGCTTGTCCAACAGTGCTTGTGCTAGGTTGGCCATGTAACCGAGATTAAAAGTTTTTGCTTAGGTGACACTGCCTTTTCTCTTCTGGTTCTTAAATGCAAATCATTATAAAAGCTCAGGGTCTGTTTGGTTTTGTGAAGTGGCCTGCTTCATTAATTGCTCTATTTTGTATTAATAAATTTGAAATCTGTGAGTGTAAATGAATATAATAGGTTTTGAATATTCTAAATTTAGGTTAGGTAATTCTGTATTTCGAAAGAAATGACCAAACTTTAGCTTCTCATATAGGTTTTTTGTTTGATTCATTTTTTAACAGCCAAACACCTCTAATTGTCTACTTTGGAAATGTACTGATTCTAAAATAGCTCAGTTTGCATTTTGGGACAACCAAGTGAATCTAAACACCTCTAACCAAGTGAATTTTTATTCTTTGCACTGGTTTTTCTCTTGTCTTTTTATTTGTTTCATTTAATATCTTTGTGATCTTTTTGCGTTCCAGAAAAAGTCAGTATGTGAAGGATTTCGTTACTTAGATTCGGCACAAAAATGTTAAAGGAAACTTGGAAATTCATGGCTTTTGTGTTGGCTGTGTAGAGGTTGACTGTGCTGGGTTCCTATGATAAGGAAACAGTGCAAATTTTCTTGAAATGTTCCTGTTGTATTGTTGATGTCATGCTTTGAATAAGTGTGATGTAGAATTTGAATTTTTTTGAAAAGATTGATTTGCATTCGATAGAAACTTCACTTGTTTCTTACATATGTTGGGTCTAGACTACTTTTATAGATAAGAAGTGTATACTTACATGAGTGTTGTGGTGAAACTTGAAAGTGTTTGATTAAGGTTGTATGTGTTTTTAGTTATTGTCTATCTTTTTCTTTTTTTAAAAAAGAAAATTTGCACGTCAATGGCAATTGACCATTGATTTCCATGCTATGTGTTATTCTAATTGACAGATCTTTTCTGTCATCTCTCATATTTTGGCTGTAGGAATCTTGTTGATGTTTATGCATTATGGGAGTTCCATATTTAGGTCAATTTTAAATTTGAAGAAAACTATATTAATATTGGGTGCATATGATATCTTTTTGGTACCTCTTATCTTTCCTCTTTTTCTTTTTCTAAATATTAATCAGGTTTTAATGATAATTAATTTTTGCTTATGTTTTGTAAAATCATTAATCCCTAAATGCATGATTTTGGTTTTAGTTTGTCATGTTGAGAAAATCTGGTACAAAAGAGATGTTAAATCTGCCAGAGTGTTGATTGTTTGCATGGGAACTGTACTGCAATTTTTTTCTTCTCTGGTGGTTCTTGATGCTTATTTTTTCCATATTCTTCTTGTGCTCTTTTACTCAACGCAATGAATTTGGATATGCAAGTAATGAAGTTGTGAACATGCCATTTGGTTTTTTTTAGTTGTTTTTTTAGTACTTGTGTGTAAAGTATTGTAAGTTGACTGCATCTGCAAATTGGTAGTAATTCTGTGTTTGCCTTTTTTATTTTTTCCCAACAGATTCCTCACTTGAGACCTGCTGAGTACAAGAGATCCAGACTATCTAGGAACAGGCGGACTGTGAACCGTGCCTACGGTGGTGTATTATCTGGAGGTGCTGTCAGAGAGAGGTTTGTTCTTCTGGAATCTTCAATACTCTAGCTTTTAATTCCAAAATAAATAAACAATGCCTATTTTTTTTGTGGTGATGCATGTTTTTATCTTGGGCCTGCTTTTGTTTCATTTTTTAGTATTTTATCACCATCTAAACCTGATGTTTTTTACATTTTTTTTTTGTAGGATCATCCGAGCCTTCTTGGTGGAAGAGCAGAAAATTGTGAAGAAGGTTTTGAAGATTCAGAAGGCAAAAGAAAAGCAGGCAGTCAAGAGTTGAGACGGTTGAAAAACTTGAGCTTTAATGTGTGAAAGAAATTTTGACTTTTAACAGATGATTATAAGTTGTGCATTACATTATTTTGAGGTGATTGTTTTTGGATTTGAATGAGCATTTTTCTTGGATTTTGATTTCTCACATTGGCTCATGGGAGTTGGGTTTTTACTTATATATTACAACCCTATTTTGGATGACTTATATAACGCATCACTACCCCAAATGTGACATGCATAAGAGTATTAGAATTAGATTACTATTCCAATGCTCTTTTTTGGCTAAGAATGATTTTTAGATTGAGATGATATCTGTCTTTGTATAATATAAATCAATGTGATGGCACACTACGGCCGTGTATTCTTCTTTCTCACTTTCATGTAGTTGGGGGGTGAAAGTACTGTCGCGGTGTACTTGTTACACAAGATGGTTTGCACTTCTATTAACTAATGATATTTGACTGATTCTGTATGAAAATTCCTGTGGCATATGCTTGATGAGTAAGTTAATATCTGTGGCCTTGTTACAACAAGAATGCATTGAGATAAAAAGGGTACACAACCCTGGGTTAACAAAAACCCAACTAGTTAGATTGCTTTGTTTTTGCTTAACCCAACTAGCTATTGAGTCAATTTGGTGCAAGTTTGATGCTATTTTGCCTGAAGAACTGAAGGAGTGAAACCAGCTTTTCATGACGAGGTGTTTATTTCACGACAGGCAGCTCAATTAGAGCTTTCACCCATGAAAACACCAGTGGATTCCTTTCTGGGTCCATGATCTTTTTCCCAAGCACTTCTTCCTGAGCTCTGTAGGAGCCGAACATGACGACCATCATAAACCCCACCCCCCCCAAGCAACCCTATACTTCCATTCTCGACTTATGGATTGACATCAGGAACAAATTTCTTCATTCCCTCTTTCAGCACTTGCAGTTATGCATACACTTCTAGTGACTCTAGTGCTTCCCCTTTGAGTAGTGATCACTTTTCCCATGCTGTCAAGCAACCGCACCAACAAAATGTTGGTATGTGGAAAAATACTATTCATACAGAATTCTCTACTAGAATGATTCGACAGTATAATTTTTGTAGTTCGCTATCAATTTACTGAAAATTTGTTTTTTAAAATGATACGTTCTAATGTAATTACTTATTTTGTATACAAATTTTGAATATGCTCTATGCATAAAGAGGAGGAAATAATGCAAAATGAACTAGAATCCTCAACTGTTGAGTAAAACTGGCCCAAAAGCAAACCTCGGCTTTTTTGTAAGCATCATCCCGTAGAAGTTAAGGCTCATTCTTCCACGTTTCATCAATGTACTCAAGGATGACTAACACTCAAACTATTGGTTTCCCATTGTGAACAAGCACGGGACCTTGTGAACTGGATTGTACTTGAGGAGTAATGGCTCTTCTTGTTCAAATCTTCTTCCACATACTCATAGGGTATCCCTTTGATTTTAAGAGCTAGTTCTACCCTCTTAGAATAAGGGCTAGCCCATGTCCCATGTATTTCCTCCCCCATTTCTCTATTTCTCTTCCTCTCACTAGCATTGCTTGGATCATCTTTTCATGGTTGTGAAACCTTTAAATAGAGTTTCAACCAACTTCTTTTAAAACAACACAGATGCAATGTTCGCGACACTAAATTCATCGATGACAACATTACTTTTTTTGTGAAAATTGTCTCGAAAAGTGTCTATTCCCAATACTAGCTGATATATATGACTTGGATTAATAAATTTTTGGCATCTCATTCAACATGATAGTAGGAGTGGTAAGCCATCTTTAAAAAAGTGTTGAATCAAAACACGACAGGGGATAAGCACATTGACCACAAATTATATTATTGTAAACTTGATCAATACTCAACTTAACTTAGTAATAATTTTCTGTCAAAAACTCTGAAAGTGTTATCAATTAGATTAAATTGACATAAAATCTAATTAATAGTAAAAACTGAACTAATTAAAAGTGTAGGAACCAAACTGACACAAGAAACAAAATATAAGAACTATCAATATAATTTATCCAAGTTAATATTTAAGAATGCATTAGGCATATAAATCCTGTATTATCTATTTATTCATCCTTTGAATAATGAGGTTATATAAGACACGATTGCTCTTGAAAATAAAATGTTTAAAAAAAAAATTGGGTTAAATTAAGAGCACCAGTAAGAACAAACAGAAGAGGCTTCGCGACCAATCAGTACACGGAGTCTTTTAGCAGCTAATATTTCATTGCAAATTTTATATAAATCCTTTATTATCAATTTATTCACCCTCTAATGATGAGGTTAAATAAGATACATGTGTTCTTGAAAATAAAACATATTGAGAGAGATGGGGCAAATTAATTGGAAAAATGATTTGGAGCTCTAGATTTAGAGCTCTATATCATTGCTGAATTGCACCAATAAGTACAAATACAAGCGGCTCCAGCGCACTGTCCAGTAATAGCTTCTCCAGGTTCGTTTTGATAGCAGCGGCTATAACAAGTATCTTCAATGCAGCCTCTACGATATAACACCTTAGCACAATTCCTAGTGCCTGTGTGAGCTATTGTCAACCCAACTGCAAAACATGGAAAAAGATAAACAATTAAATATATATATATATATATATATATGCAAAATTTGTATATGTAAAATGATGTGGCTACAACGAGACTTAAGGGTTGTTCGGGGGATGCGAGGTCACTGTTGCGCTTAAAACATCACCGCTTCACCTCCCTTTTTTTTAATTTCTTTTTCTGATTTTATTCTCATAGCATGATATATATTCTCATAGTACAAACATTTCCAATTATGATTCATATTAATTTAAGTTACATTTTCAGAGTATGATATAACTAAAATTATTCTTTTACATTATAAACATCACAACATACTTTTAAAATAATTTTATATGTATATATAGAAATACATATAAATAATTAATATTATGCCATATACATATATATACATAAAAATAATTTAATTAATATTAAGTTAAGGAGGTGTCTATGATTTTTTTCACAAAAATGTTAAGGAATGTTCATGTATTTTTCGCTATATAATAGCGTTGTCTACAATTTAACTAATAATGTCAGTAGAGGTGTTTATAATAGAACGTCTAAATGTCGTTTATGATAGAGCATCTAAATATTAAGAAGTATCTGTAATATATTGAAAAAGTTAGAAGGTGTTTGTGCGTTTCCATCAAATGTTAAAGGGTGTTTGTATACCCTTTTTATTTTATTTTAGTAGATTGAATTCAAAATAATAAATAAATGAAATGATTACATTATTTTAATTGGGAATCAAAAATATCCTATCAGGTCTAAAATCTTATTGTATATGTACAATTTATTCAGTTGAATGAGATTATATATAACCGGAAAAAAAAAAAAATTAGATCATAACATTTCTGAATTAAAATAATCTTATAAAAATAAAATTATTTGTATAAATGCAGACAATATAGATCTAACAGATTTTATTACTTTATTTTAATAAAAACAAAAAACTACAAACAAACAGCATTGCCACTGAATAGAACCAAAAAAAAAAGAAAAAGAAGTGAAACGCCATTGTTTAAGGCACAACAGTGAACCCACATCCATGTTTGGGATCTTTCAAATAAAAGTATCTCCATATCAATGAATTTTTTTAATATTTTAAACGATTTTTTTTTTTTAATGTTTAGACACACCTAACATAAATACACTTAAAAAATATAATATTTGTAATTTTTTTTAAATACACTAAATACCAAAAAATACGAAAATTTAATACATTTTTTGTATTTTTGTGTATTTATTAATTTTTTAAAATATATTTTTACAAATATTTTACTATTTAGATATATCTAAGTAAGGTGTATCTAAAAAAGTAAAAACGTTGCTTAAAATTAAAAAAATATTCACTAAAAACAAAAAAATACGAAAAGTAAAAAAACTTAGTTTTCAGAAAAACTGAATTCAAAAAACTCAGTTTTAGTTGAGTCTAGCCAAATATTAAAAAAGTATTACTTTTTATATTTTAGAATTAATTGTGTTGAGTTTATAAAAAATAATTCCAAATTAAAATGAATAAAATAATATTTAAATAGTATAGAGAACTAATAGATAATTTGTTGGAGAATATATTTAAAAAGATGTAAAATCAAAATAGAAAAAAATAATTTTTAAGTTAAAATATAACAGAATTTTAACTAGTCATCTTTTTTTCAGAAAAAAGTTGTCCATTAAAATGACATTTAATTACCAAAAATGTTACAATCACCTTGCGGGTGGGAATTCTATATAGAAATTCTATGAAAATAATATTTACCTAAAGAAAAGAAAAATAGAAAAAAAATATATATACAAAATTGTATACAAAAGGATAGACTACACATTAAAACGAAGTGTCAAACAAAAATGGCACTTCTACATTCTAGTGGAGAATTTTGAAAAAAGAAAAAAATAAATAAACAAAGAAAGAAAGAAACAAAGAAAAATAAGAAGAATGAAGTGTGCACATCGTGTGGTATAGAGGAGGAAAGGAAAAATTTATTCTAATCTTCTTATTTTATATATTTCAATAAAAAATAAAGTGATCTAGTTAGCTAGAACTTTTCAAAAACTAAAACATTTTATCAAAGCACGAAAATCGCATCAAAGTTTGTTAGGGATGAACCTGATAAAACAAGGACAAAGAGCAAGAAATAGGCGCAACACAACTTAGCCATCTTCTAAATACGAAAAGCTATTACCAAATGTTCTATTGTTTGAAAATTGAAATACTCTAATTCTTGCTATCATGGTATTTATAGAGTGGAGACAACTTATACTATTAGAGCAGCAATAGTGTTACACACACTAATGAGTAGTGTTAGAGACTCCTAAAATTCTATCAAAGTTTTTATCAAATGTCTTATATGGGTGTTGGACCCACACAATGTCGGTCTCATGTGCATCCTACATAGATATTTGGCAAGAAAGGACCTCCTGAGATACAAGTCTAAATATGAGATTATATGGAATACAAGAAAACTTTATGGATTTATTGGGTTATAAGTCCTCTAAATGGAATTTATAAATAAATCTCTCAAAAAAGTATGTTCTTTATTTTTCCTAATTCCTTTTCTATTTATATACTCTAATACTATTATTTAATTACAAAATATTTCCTAATTACAAAATATTAATTTTCATTAATTACCATTAAATCTTTTA